CAAACCCTAATGGCATGCTAAAGGTAAGAATTACCATTTCATTGGCAAAAGTACTAGTGCAGGACAGCTGCAATAGCAAAGGTAACTCACAGCTGAAATGGTTAATGTTACTGGGACCACAGAAGCGTAGGTCAGTTAAAAAAAGAGTATTAACCAAGGAGTCCAGGAAACCTGATATCCATGCAGCCAACACCATTTGGATGCACAAGCGGTGGCTGATAATGGTGCTGTATCTCAGTGGGTTGCATATGGCAGCACAACGATCATACGCCATTGCTGAAAGTAAGAAGATCTCTGTACCAAACATGAAAATAAAGAAAAAGACCTGAGCTATGCAGCCACAGAGAGAAATAGTCTTTTTTGTAGCTAGGAGATTCTCCAGCATTTTGGGAACTGTTACAGAAGAATAGCAGATGTCAAGGAAGGATAAGTTAATGAGAAAGAAATACATTGGAATGTGCAGTTGAGAATTAGCCCATATTACCAATATGATGACCATATTCCCTACTAGGGTTATTAAGTAGATTGGTAAAAACACCAGGAACAAGAAAACCTGGAAGGTCGGGTCACCAGAAAATCCTGAGAGAAGAAATTCACCCACAATTGTTTGGTTTTTCATGGTAGTTTTCTCAATAGGAAGATGATCTAGAAGAAAAATTTACAGGAAAAAGAAAACCTAATAAATTCAAAGAGATCAATAAATCACAATGAAGAAAACAAAGGGTACTATACACTTTTGCCTAATTATGTGGGTTCATATTTTTCAACTTCTTTGGAACAATTGGTTCTAAATAATACTTTTTATTTAAATATTTTTGTTAGTTCAACATATTTCTGGCAATGAAAACATTTTTTTTACTGATTGCATTTCATGCACCCAAGCTGGCTATGTTAAAATCCTTGTTAACAATTGGTTCCACATGTATTACTTTTGTGAATTTGCCATTAGAGTACTATAAAAGAGTTCTACCAACAAATCTGAATTGTACCTTCCAAAGTAACTAATTTCACAATAAATCTTTGGCATTATTTCATGCAGATTACCTTATATCACTTTATCACTACATCACAGATTACGAACATATTGCAGCTTGGAATCACTAATAATATAAAGCCATAAATGTAAATAAATTTCCTCTGAAGGGAACTTTTCATTCTAATAAAACACATGTATTTCCTTCAAAACTACTAAGATAAAAGAAAATAAAACTTGAGATTTTGATCTGTCCTTATTTCAAAGTGGGAAAAAAAATCAATCTTATCTCTTTCATCACATGTCTCACTTCTAATTTTGCCGCACAGTTCAAAAATGGTTCACATTACTGATAAAAATATGCATGTTAGGAGACATAAGTTTTAAAGGGTGGGTGATAGCAACTGGTCAATCCTGAATGGACTGGGATAATAAGGAGGATTTGGGGAGACCATCAGGGTTCACCAGCACTGTAAGATAGAATGGGAAAAAAAATAAAATAAATCTATATCCATATTATTGCTGATAAAACTGGATGGATATATCCATGAAATCTCCAGGGTTGATGTTGATTTCAAAGAGACTTTACCTTTACACTGAGAACATATTTATTTTCTAATATGTACATTGTGATAAATAACTTCAAAACACATCTGGAAATGTGTATTTAAATACAATTTTCATAGTTTTAAAAATCAGATTATATGATTACATTTACAAAATATAAATGAACAAATGGGGAATGAGTCTGAGAAAAAGTCACTGAAGACACTCTGGAGATGTCATGAATCTATGTGTGAAATGCTACAAATTGCATTTAAATTTGTCCACCTGCTTTCAGATATTCCTGGATGTTTTACCTGTGAAATGATCCCCATTATTCAAATTTCTTTCCTGTAGAGCATGGAGGAAAACACATAATAAAGCTACACAGAAGCACACTTCTTCTAGGCTTTTTCAGAGGTATATGGAGCAACTAGTGTTTTAGAATTATCCAGTACCATCCTTCTAAAGCTCTTTACAATCAGTATTTTGGATGCATTTGGGTTACTTGGTTCTGCTTCCTATTCAGAAACACAAATCATTCCCAGAAAAAAATATTCTGAAGAATTCTGTTTTCAGGTGGATTCAAATCTAGAAAAGAGGACTTTGCAGTGCTTCAGATTTAAAGGCAAAAGGGTGTTTTTTCTGCAACCCTTTAAACCAATTATATCTGTTCCCAGGATTGAGTTGTGGCTGAACAGAACAGTTGTGTAATAAATGAAGCTGTTTTAAGGAAGCGCAGACAGGTGCTATGCAAATGCTTCCTCACCTGATATCCTTGTTAAAAAATACATGTGAAAATATTTTAAAACATTCAGAGGAATAATACACTGGTTAAGAAGAAAAAAATATGTGATAAACTCTCCAGCTTTCTTTCATAATTTGGTGCATCAATAATAGGGAGGCAAACATTCTCCTTACCTACCTCATGTCTCTCCTTTTTGTGATTACCTCTGTGGGGGAAAAAAAAAGGTTTATTAAATGGAATTACTTTTTTGGATAATTTTTTTTAAAAAAATGAAGTAACAGATTCATTAATAAATAAAAAGTGAAAAGATGCTATACTCAGACAGAGACCCCAGAGTAACTATGAATTAATAGAGACGGTATTTTCAAAAATAAAGCAGACTTAAACAATTGTTGGATAGAGATTCATTTTCCCCAAAGATCAATTATTTGAACATGTGAAGATGCCATTATTGGGGACTATTTTGCTCCTTCTCAAAAGGATTACGTTAATAGCTAATACTGTGAAACAAATTTCCTATTATAAGGGAAATAATCTACTGACAATGACAGGAGTAGATCTTGGGGGGGGGGGGGAAAAACTTGGAAAAAAGGAATGGTTCCTTTTTTGGGGGGGAGCATTAAAAAATTACTTTCCCAACACAATGGGAGGAAAGATAATATACAAGCTGTTTGGGACAAAGTGTCACAGAATGTGAGGAGTTACACTAATGGGAAATATGGGAAATGATGCTTGGTCGAGTGATAAAATGAAAGTGGCTATGGATAGGAAATAAAAGGCATTCAAGAGAATGATAGCTGCAATAATAATGCAATCAATTACATAATATGAAAAGATAGTTGCAAGGAATTGAGTCAAAGCTTTTGTACAGCCATTACTTGTTTAAGAACTACCTCACTTAGTGACCATTCACAAATATAACAGTAATAAATTACAATTAAAAAGTTACAAACGAAAAAAGGAATATAAAAAAAAAATAGAAAGAAAATAGAAAAGAAATAAGAAATAAAAATATACTAAAGAAAAAAAAATACATTAAAAATTCATTTTCCAACCAATGCGCGCATTTATGACCAAATTTCATGTGCCTGACAACAAAAACCTTCAGTGTGAAACTGATAAGTTCTGGTCACTTTCAGGCAGCAGCACCAACCAGCCAGAGGGTTCTAATCAACTGATTAAGGTCATAACTAATTTTTTTATACTGTCTGTAAAATTAGGCAGACTTTGGTTGTCCACTGATGATCCCACCATTAATATTATCAGGTTTTGTTTTATTTTGTTTTAATGCATATTTATTTGTATTTGTACACATTTGTATTTTATTTGTAATTCTGGTCTGTGACCATAATAAAATATTGATTGATAGATTGAACTAATTAAGGTCACTGGACTAAGCTTGTTAACTTGCAATTAGCATTTTTTAGGGAAGTGCTGCGCTATAAAGAAAAGCAGCTCTGGAAGAGACAGCTTGTTTAAGCAGTCTCTCCACCTCTTAAATATTTTCACATATGTAAGCAGTATTTTATCTGAATATAATGGCAGCAACTCGTGATCTTCACAGTCTCTCTCTCTCTCTCTCTCTCTCTCTCAGTTACATGTTTGCTGAGCTACCATTTTGCTTAACAACAAAGTCACTGGAAGAGATTGTGGTCACTAAATGAGGAGAGTATTTTGAAGGAAATAAAATTTGTTGAGGAAGATTGTGAATTGAGTTGGGAGTATAGGAATGATAGGTGATATCTTGAAGAGTGAAATTGAAATGAATAGTATAAATGTTAGTGTTCAAGAAAAATATTGATGAAAAGGAAGTCATAAAAGCTATGAGAATGTTGAAGAGTGGTAAGTCAATACTGTACAGGTAATCCTTGTTTAGCAACTGCCTTGGATATCAATTGTTTGCAAATATTATGGTAATAAACAGTAACAAAAATTCATAAACCAGTACATGCATTTAAGACAACAAATGCCTTCCACGTGAAACTGATTAAGGTCTGGTCAGCTTCATTCAGCAGCACCAGCCACCAGATGGTTCTAATCAACTAATTAAGGTCACAGAGTTGAGCTTGTTAATTTGTGGTTGGAACTTTTTAGGGATATGCTGGGGGAAAAAGCAGCTCAGGAAGACATAGCTTGTTTAAGCAATCTCTCTACTGGGGGGAGGGGGAAGAAAAAAATGGGTCAGGCTCAGGACACTGTAGGAGAGCACTTTATCTAAATGAGATGGCAGCAATCAGCAAGCTTT